TTTATACCATGTGAAACAGTGGAGAGATGATCACTTAGCTTTTGTTTTGCTTCCAATTCATTTTTTTTTCAAGAAGTGTAATTAAAAACTACATTAATGCCACCAATTATGGCCTCCAAGGGACCAGAAACCCCATGTTACTCCGTGATGGAACAGAACTGAGCTGCAAACATCCATTTACCATTATAATACTCATTAATCCTGCCAAAAACAACTCATTATGGGACTTCAAGAAATCATCTCATAGGCAAACAGCACAGAATCTGCCACTACATTCCTCACAGCAAAGTTGCAGAGGTGGAAACTGTTCGATGTCACTAATTTATGAAGCTGAAAACTATGATTTTGCTTTTTATCAAGCTAAGAACTTTATGTCAAAGAACTGGGCTAAACTCTCACCCTTTAAGCAAATTCTTAAAAGGAAGCAGCTTTGACTCAAAAATCTCAGTAATCTAAACCTGAAAAATTTCACTAGCCTACCCATCAAATCCTTCCAGAATCCAATCTCATCTCACTGGACATCAACACCATCAGTATTTCCCCTGCAAAGTAATAACAAAAATCCTACCACATCCAGTATCATTTCTGTCTGGATCTAAAATAAAATACAAACCCTTTCTCATTCTTTAGTCAATTGAATATATTCAAAGACATTGGTTCCTTTTTCTATCCCCAGCTCCCAGGAGGTGCTCCACCCAGCAAGGTCCCTCTGAATGCTTGTTGGTGATCTGACGTCATTTTTCTAGGAAAAGTAGTCCTATAACACTCTGCAGCAAAGAAAGCATAGGCTTTTCAACTATCATTTGATAAGAAATTATTGCAAAGATGAATGATTAGAGAGGAGATTTCTTTAAAATACATTAACATTCCTTATATTTCAAGATCAAAACAAATTGTTCTCTCTCTCTTCAATACCACATTTCCTCTGATATCTTAGCAGTCTTTGCTTGAGCAGAAAACATCGAAATAATATGTCTGAAAAGATTTTCTAAAATAAGCTTAGATAAAGTACTAATAAGCTAATTTTAAAATATTTCGTTATATCTAATCTTTTTTTACATGATTTAAAAGAAAGGAAAATAAATTCATAATTTTTCCATAGTTACTATACATTTTCTCTCATAAAATTACTAAAAAAGTGAAAAGTAAGTGATAATATGCAGTATCTGAAATCGAATAAGTAGCCATCTTTACTCAAGATTGCTCTCTTAGAGTTTAAACTAAACTTATTTCATACATTTTTAAAACTAGCTGTTCCACACAATTCTAACAGAATTAATAGCAAAATTAGTTGAAATTGGTTAAATCAGTAGCAAAATGAGGCCTACCATGACTTCCTTCTACAAACAAATTCTGAAAGTTGATACTTGGGGTAAAAGTTGAGGAGAAATATACAATTTAAAAAGTGCTAAAACAAAAAAAGTATCCTTATTGTTTCTTTTCAGTTTTCAGGTTTGGGATTTAAATCTTGAGAATAGGTACAAAGCACGTGCTGTGTGCTCTCACAGAACCCAGGGGTTACTTGCACAATTGTCAACCTTCTAGATTATAGAAGTCTCCTTCTAGATTCTAAGTCCTATGAGAACTCTGTCTTGTACACCACTGAGTCATCAGCTCTTAGCATCCTGTGGAAGACAATCTCTGATTGTTCAGTGAATGAACAAATCATTGAAATTTACCAGGATAAGAGCCTGAGAACATGCAATATCTATGCTGTGTCATTTCTGTAGGTCTTTTTTTTTTCCTCCCTTATCCCTAGAAGATGCATTGGCTTTATAGTCTAAGTTCTGAACTCCTTTCCTTGAGAAAGTAAGTATGCTATGAACAGGAAGCTGAAATTTTCAAAGACTAAGGAAAAAACCCATATCCTGGTTTTTGTTGGTGGAAAAAAATTTACCTACTGAGAGAAGTACAAGTAAGACAACTGGAAAAGAGATTAATGTCTTGGGCTGATAGTCTTTTCCTCAGCTTTTGGGGCCTTGATTTACTCACTGCATCTAGGGTCCTGGATGAGGCATTACTCTGGAAGGCTAAACCTTTGGAGGCTGGAAGATTTTCCCGAAGCTGGAGAGCATCAGAAGAGCTCTCTGAGAGCGGTGTTGGAGTCAGCAGGGTGCCTGTGATGTTGGAAGAGCACTTCTGGCTAAGCCAAGAGCTGACTGCCCTACTGGGACAAGTAAAAGAAAGCAAGAGAAGGAAATCTTGGCTTTGGAAGCAGCTCACCCATCCCCCAGTGTATCTGCCCTCCGATAAGACCAGGATCTCTTCATGATCCCACTGTAGGCCTGGACATCAAGAGCTAAAATGAATTAAATGAAATGACTTCCAATATGACATTTCTTGTAGTGTGGTTTTTTTGGACCAAAATTTATACCCATACAGAATGAATGCCAAAAATTCCATATTCCTATTTCCCATTGCTAGTAGCGTTGCAATTTGTCAGACTAAAAGTTGAAGCGAAGGCTGGCTTGCACTTCCATCTTCTTCCCCAAACTACTAGCAAGTAAGTAGCCATTTCTTTGCTGACATCCTTGCTTCCAGGTAGGTATCAGATTAGATGGGAAGATGAGTAGGTAACCCTCAGTATAGTGCTAGTTACATATTAAGTACTAAATCTTGAATAAATGTTATATGAGGTAACATATGGAAGGGTTTTCCACAAAATTGGTATTTTCGGGTTGTGAAAAATGAAGTGGCTTTAAATATAACATGCAAATGGAAATGGGTCATGTTTCGATGGGCATCGTATGCACATTCTAGGACTTTTCCTCCGGAAGCTACAGGGGCTTTTCTCAGGCTATTTTCTTTGAAATAAATTTTAAAATAATTTCGACTTACCAATTTTAAAATGTTCCTTTTATAATTTAAATTGTTATTTACAGGAGAAAACTTCTTCAATATATGTGGCTACGTACATCCAATTCCAAGTTAACGTAGAGAATACCAGTCATAATAAATAAAAATAATTCTTAGTCTGCTGCATTTTACAAGCTTCAAAAAGACTGATGTGTAGAAAGAAACTCATTCACAATTTGTAAGTGGGCACTCTTTGGAATTAGAATAACTAGGCATGCACAAAGTGTTCAAAGTATTAAGCACTGTGTGTTTCCTAAGGTACAGAATAAAGGACTTCCAACCCTCTCTGTAGGGAAACTACACTGTCAAAAATGCCCGCTCATCTCTGGATGCCCCAAACCAGTGTAGAAAACTCTGTCACTTCGGGAAATTTTAAAGATAATTTCTGGTGTTCTGTCATTATCAAAATGCTGTAAGAAGATGAAAACATTTGCATTTATTAATATAGCGTAATGTATTTTTTTTTTTGGTTAAAAACTCCAGGAATAACAAATAACTCCAACTGTATAAATAAAATATACAATAAATGCCCCATCAGCTCACAAACAGACACACATACACAGATGAGGATGAAAACGCTTCAAGAGAGAAGAAAGAAAAATCTATCAAATCTTTAAACAGTGGGATCAAAAGACTTGTTCGAGACTTTCTTCCTAAAGTCCTAGAGAGGCCAGCTATGCTCACAGTCTGTTGTTAAGGTAAAATTCACACAGTAAAATGCACATGTGTTTCAGAAATTGTTCAGGGTTGTTTCACTGATAGTCGTTACTGCCAAAGCCAAGGTAAAAGTAACGCACACTTCTACTTTAGGAAAGAAGTACTAAGCAATTATGCCATTCCACTTTCTAACTCAAGTAGCTGCCCCCTCTTCCACATTCCTCCTGCCTACCTTCATGACAGGCTTCATTCTCATCATTAAAACAACCTAAAAGAGATCAACAGTCATGAATGTTGCTGCAAAATGTAATCAGAAACAGGTTGGAAAGGAATGATAAGATATTTGCTGAATTATTCTGTTTAAATACTAGGTCTTCCTTTGATAATCATGTCCTGAGTCTCCCTGGATTGACATATGAGATAACGCTCTCAAGATCTTATTGCATATGTACCCAGGACTTGTCCTAATCTGACGTCATTCAGGTTGTTTCTGACCCCTTTGCTAATTTCACATGTCACTGTAAAATCTGAATTCATGTTCCTATGTTCTAGCTTCTCCACTCTGTGACAATCAACTGCAAAAACCAACATTACAACATACACATCCCAGACTGACATGTATCTCAATAATGTATTTTGAATGCCTGTGGCATATTATTTCTCATGACATTAACTAGCTGATTTTCAGTCTTCAATAATTTATTGCTACAAAAGTGATAACCTATTGCCTAATATTTCTTTTTATTGTTTTTACTTAACCATTAGCCTCATAACATGGCAATTTCTAACTCATTTCATAAGTCAGGTGGTATAGGTTGCTCATAAAATTCAAACCCCAAAATATAAATTGTTAAAGGAGTAAATAATTGTGGAAGAGAGGCTATAAAATTTTTTACTACAAAGGTTTATCTTATTAGCAAAAAAAAGAAAGGTATCACACGCTCCTTCTGAAATGTTTCACAACATCAGACAAAAACATTATAAGTTAAGGCAACCCTATAATAATAGGAGATCTTGGCACTGTCTCTGAGAAAACTAAAGGCACAGTGTCAAAATCTAAAAGTACAGCCTATCTTAGACATAAACTCGGCTTTGGCTATGATGTAAAAGACACCAAGTGTATCACAAGACAGTGTCCAAACAATCTAAGGCAATGAGCAAGTTGTGCAAATTAGAAATCTATGAAATTACAACCTAGAGACACCCACCAAGCCAGTCCTTGGCTGGAATCTACACAAGAGAGTTGGATGTATTCCAAATTCTGGAGATTTTAAACATTTAGTAACTCAAGTGCTCTATTAAAAACCTAAGAATTTTAAATAATTTTCAAACTTGGGAAATGAATTTTCTTTTTTTACGCACCTTATTCATTTATTTGTCATATCACTATTGTATCATTTATTGACATGTTGCTAATACTCTTTTTCCTAGTTTTATTGACATATAATTGACATACAGCACTGTGTACATTTAAGGTGTACACCATAAAAAATATGGAACCCTTCACAAATTTGCATGTCACCCTTGAACAAGGGCCATGCTAATCCTCTCTGTATCATTCCAATTTTAGTATATGTGCTGCTAAAGGGGGCATTGGAATGAATTTTCATGTTGAACAACTCACCTCTCTGAATCTTTTGTGTTCCCTTTGGCACTGGGTGTCAGGCACAAAGTAGGGGCTCAATAAATGCTGAATGGATTGAATTGAACTCTAATGACGGAATACAGTTCATTTAAATACAGCAGGAGGCAGAATAGCACTTTGACAGAGTAGGTATCTTGTGGTTTGAGTATTGGCTTTTTCACTATTAAGCTGTCTGATCCTTTGTAAATTCCTTAACCTCTTTAGATATCAGTGTATTCTTCTGTTAAATGGGGATACTTATACTTTCTTCATTAAGTAAAATATTTAGTGCATTAATTTATATACGTATTTCACATAGTAAGAGCTCAATAAATGTTAGCTAGAATCATCATTTTTTGTTTTCGAAAAATAAAAATTTATAAATCCATAGTAGTTTAGGAATGATGCAGAATTGAAGACATTTTGCTATAATAAATAAGATATAGAATTCTTTATTTTCTTATTCCCTAACATAGGCATACTACAATTTCAACCAATAAATACTTATCGACATCTCCCTTGTACACAGAAGCAGTAGTAAATATTTTATAAAGGTGTATATTATTTAAATTACCAAATAAAACAATAATGGGGTAAGACTATTTGAAAGAACTCTACAATGTATACTTTTAGAAGAAAAATAATTTAAAAAATAGTCACCATCTAACATAGTTCAATTTGTTGAGCAATTTGAATGTTGCTTATCATGCTATCTTCAAGTGTTATTCAAAGGATATAAAGTCTGAGAATAACTGTGTTTGGAAGGGGAATAACCAGATGCCCCAGGGGTTACATGCACAGTTTCCTCAAAATGCTTACAGCATTGAAAAAGAGTTTCACTGATCAGAAATCTGAATGTTGGGCCAGCAAATATGGTGAATGTTATGAGCAGATGTTTCCCTTTACTAATATAGTATCTTTGAGATGATGCACTAGTTTAGTTAATATGGGCATTGGTAGACTGAGTCACAGGATGTGTCATTGCACACCAATGAACTGGGTCTTCAAGCATGTCCCTGGACAGAGGGTTTGAATCATTTCCTCTGCAATATCAAGGAGACTGGCATTGTCTGGAAAAGAGTGGGAGTTATTCCATTCTCCACTGGGATCATCACAGAGATGGATGGATTCTCCATCTTGAAGCAAAAAAAGAACTATAGGCTGTTATAAGAAGCTTCAGGAATGCCCTGAAAAGAGAGGAGGGAGAAAGGGACACTGGCCAAGCAATGTTTCAGTGGGAGCTGGCAGCAATGCAAAGAAGGAGCTCCTCAGACTGGAAAAGACTCTAGAAGACTTGGGAGAATCCCGTGGTTCTGAAATTGATGAGGTATTCTAGGATTTCATTTACCCTTGGAACCCTAGCTTTAGGCTGTACATAGTAAAATTGTGAAAGCAGCAATTTCTTTATTCATCTTTTATGGGTAGTTACAGCTTGCATGTAAAAGAGCTAGATATTAATCCAATAATGTTTGGTTTAATGTTTTTTCCAAAATTAAATATTATCTCTAACATGGTCTAATCAGTTCAGACATTGACACAAGACAAAGCTAACCGTATCACTCATGGGTCTTTTCTTAGTTTCTTAATTTACTTCACAAACTCAAAAGCCTTGGTCTGTTTTACAATTTAAAGCTAATCATTTCTCTCCAATACTCTCTAATTGTTCCCACTACACAGAATACAGCAAGAAGCTGAATCTTAAGAATATGTCTTTCTACAAGGTGTCTTACTAATAAAGATATTTGGTTAGTAGTACTTCTCTGATGAAAAGAGGCTGAGAAAACTGAAGATTTAAAATAATAGCTGACACAAGAAAATATCATTTCTAATGATCTTTTGAGTTACGGATTTAGGACTAAAAGTTATTGACTTAGTCTAAACTTTCAAATGCTGGATCCCTAAGTTGCAAAGCAATAAGCAGTCTAATAGCTTTAAAGATCTCAAAAAGGTCTTTTGCCCATGATCTGTGTAGCACAGTAAAGTAACAAAAATATAGATCTGCCCATCTAAATGAACGAAACATATACAGTGTAGTTGTAGTATCTGATGCCAGGTATTGATCAGTGAGAACATAATGAATTGTATGATCCATAAGACCATAATCCTGCTATTAATCTGCCTTTCAGGTCATAATCACATACACTTCAAAAAGCTAAGCCAAATAGCAAGAGTTCTTCAATTGAATTCAAATTATTGAAATTACATACGAATTAATGTTTGCAATTATCCTGGGAAAACTGAACATTTTAAAATATTTGGCATCAGATTCACTATAAGAAGACAGAAACACCGTCTTCTCCGTTTTGATCAACTTTGTACAAATAAAAACATTAGCATGTTTGGATTTTAAAAGGTCCATTTACATTTGTTATCTTCCCCGCCAGGACAGATGTTAAAAAATAAACTTTAATACTGATAATGTTCCCATTATGCTGCTCCCAAAGGATAAATTTTATTTACTGCCCCAGAAGATTCCCACTACTAGTAGGTTATTAATTCACGTAAATATTCATTACTACAAAGGTGAACGCGTACTTTATCATTACTTTATAGTAGTCAGTAAATTGGAAAATTCAGTGCTGCTTTTGTGGATTTCATAGGTCTTCTGGTCCAACTCTGCACCTTTAGCAGGACACCCCCCAAACTGCCTGTTAGAGGAATATCTATTCTCTTTGAAAGGTTTCTAAAGGTATGGCTCATTGCAACTTTATTATTTTAAACGTTAATGATATTGCAATACAATTTTTCTTTCTTTCCTTTGTATAGTCTTGTTCTCTCCTACTCATCTGCCCCATTGTGGATTAGGAAGCAAAAAATCAAAACAAACGTCAAAATTCCATGAAAAACAGCCTTCTATTGTTGGCATCATTTTTCCTCTAAAAGTTCAAATTTTTATTTCTAAAAATTTTCCATACTTTATTTCATGATTTGCTCTCAGAACCAAATAATTTGTTGGCTATTTGATTGTTTTATTATTTATAAACTGTATTGCCTCCATTTTTTTTTCTCTTTCTGGAAAACAGATTTACTTATAGGCGAGATTTAGTAATATTTTACCTTTTTTGTCACTAAAATGGGATTTCCACAGTGTCCTATAACAACCAATTATTGGAACCAATAATATTCACTATGGAAATTCTCCCCTAGAGCTCTTTTTCTACCGTTTAGAACATTTTTTTTCCTTATTCTGTGCAGATATAAGCAATTGGTCATGATGAGAAACCTTCATATTTTTGAAGAACAAGATTTTAATCAGCCAATTTTTACCTTCACCCCATTTTTAGTCACTTTACACATCTCCTGGCCTAGCTCTCTTTTCACCTTGCGTATTACGGAGCTTACCATTAGAAAAAAAATTTTCAACAACTTTAACACATACTGACTACAATGACAATATTGTTTCCAGATTTCTGACAATGAATTCCCCATTTTACATTATGGATTAATATGAAAATAATTAACGTTTTCATTTGTATTTTCTGCAAAATAATGTATAATAAAGCTAATGATGATGTAGCATATTTTATTTGATAGCATATAAACACATGCTTGGAATATTATTGGGACTAAAATTTTCTCTTGGAAATTTAGGCACAGGAAATACAAGTCAGGTCAATGAGACACAATATAGGAGGAAATCTATTAATAATCATTGAATTATAAAAATACAATTATGTGGATTTTTAATGATGCATAATTATCTAAAATATTATCTAAAATAATCATGGGTCTTTTAAAGCAAAACACCTAAAAGAAGTAAAAAGGTAAGCAAATCCTTCATACTTCATTTATTGACTGGTGAAAGTATGTAAGCTTTGAGGTGTCATTTATCAACAGAGAAAGGAACATAAGCTTTACAAGAGTAGGAGTTTTGGAGCTGGCTCCGTGGTCAAGTGGTTAAGCGTGCGTGCTCCGCTTAGGCATTCTAGGGTTTGCTGGTTTGTATCCCGGGAGCAGAAATGGCACTGCTCATCAGGCCATGCTGAGGTGGCGTCCCACAAAGCACAACCAGAGGCACTCACAACTAGAGTATACAGCTATGTACTGGGGGGCTTTGGGGAGAAGAAGAAGGAGAAAAAAAAAGATTGGCAACAGATGTTAGCTCAGGTGCCAATCTTTAAAAAAAAGAAAAGAGAAGGAATTTTATCTAGTTTCTTCACTGATAAATTTCCCAGCACCTAGAAGACCGTTTGACTCTTGACACTTGATACCCACTCATTAAATATGTGTTGAATAAAAGGGGAGTATATTTTTCTGATGAAATATTTTCTCCTTCTGTCTCCTGCTCTCTTCCTTTGCTCTCTCAGCTCCTGTATTCGATTTATCTTATTCCCACTTTTTCACTCTGAGCTTCTCCATCTTCCTCTTCCACCCAGATAACTATTCTTCACTCTTCAGGTTTCAGATCTATAGTCATTACCTCAGGGGAACCCTCCCTGACCCAACACACCAGCATAGTTTCCTCCTATTTTTTGCTCCCATGTCATTCTGATTTCCCTTCCAGTAAAATTCCTCAGGTTAGCAATTATGGGTTTAAAGCTCATGCTCCTCAGCTAGACTATAAATTCCATGGATGACTGTATTATGCCTGGCCTATTTTCTCTTCTAACTCCAGGGCCAAATGCCTGGAACATGGCGGATCTTCAATAAAGATGTGACATCTAAATACAGGAAGGATGGACGGGAATAAGAAAGGAAGGAAGAAAAAAATCTCACACTTATCTCTTTAGGCTCCTGCAAAGACTTTCATTTGTTGCTGTTTGGGAAGATAGCTGTTAGAATTCAGGAAGCCAAATAACTAGCCCCATTGTAGAAATTATCAGTAGAGTCCCAAACAAGTAGAAGAAAATCAAATAAGACTAAAAGCAAAATTTAGACAATTTGACCTCTTGGTATTTCATTGGTAGGAGTAAGTTGTGTGGCCCCCTGAAATTGGTATACAATAGGGTCCTGAAGAAAATAGCTAACAC